TTTCAGAAGTATGTTATGGGCTTGGAACCCATTATGCTAAATAGGGATTTACATGCGTCATGGGGACCTACTGCATTTGAAAGATTAGGTAATAGAATGAATAATGCGGGGCCAGTTTCCCGGTGGCGCGGGAAACGGAGCGGTAGGTCGGAGTCCTGGGACTCGAGAAATCGATAACCAGAAATCCCAACTCTACTGCGTCCTCGCAGAGTATAGTCCACTCCTAGATTTTTTGTTTAAGGTTTTGTTTGTACTTTTTTACATTATTATTATATTTAATTTATACAATAAACATTGTTATTATTCGCAATAAGTGAGTATCCAGATCTGTGATGGGATACCTTTAAATCTGTTTTCTTCGGAATATACTTCCTGGAACCGGTTTGCATAATAAAATGTTTGAATTATAATGGCTTATTACTCATAATACATAAGAAAGATAAGGTCTCACTAAGTACTACAGTCTATTCGTGGTAAAAAAAATAGTGACGCATTGTCAGGGGGCGGGGCTTGCTGTGTCCCTTGCCAGGTAAAATTATTATAGTTACTCTTTCTTTTAAAAGTCGAGGAAATAGAATCCTTGGCTTACAGTGTCAGTCGTGTTCCGTCCGTCGTGACAAGAACACGTTTTCTTTCTACATCCCTGTGAATAATCGGTTATTGTGATCGTGTGATCTAAGTGTTACTACTAACTCAACCGTGCAGTTAGAACTATTTGGTTGTTAAATATGGAGTGTCATCTTTTAAACGGTAAGTTTAGAGCTTGTTTCAACTTTTATTAAATTCTTAATTTTATTATTCCTATTTAGTTTATTAATTGTAAACCCATTTACTGTATTTATTTGACGTTGACATAATTAATTGACTTTCATCTCTGACGTCCTTCGGAATCTATAATTTACGGCTTTTATTGCACATTTCGATAATATTCTATAAAATAAAACTATGAATTTCGCAAAAGCTTTAAGTTAATTGATTGTAAAGCTGTTGTAAACATAAATTTAACATAATATACAATTTGAAGCTCACACAAATTTAGTAACTGAGATGACTTCAAATGCTTTAATTTACAATTAAATTTTTTGTTAGGTTTATTTTACATTAATTTCTGTTGAGTATTTAAGAAATTGAGTGGCTCAAGTGACATAAATCTACAATAGCACCCATTTCTGACGTCTAGGCTCACATTTAATAAAACACATACCTAACTATATCAAAGATATCTTTGTCGTATTTTGCGAACACCATCAAGAGTTCAAGAAGTACTTTGTCAAAATTTAAAGTTCATTTGTTGAAAAAAAAATCTCTTGTTTCTAAAGTGATTATTTAAATACCTATTTTCTAAAAGTTTCTTTTATTTTAATTGACAATTAGATTTTATTTCTAAGTTTATAGCATTTTCAATCTGGTTCATTATTGTAAACCCAATTGAGTGTATTTATTTGACATAATCCTGATTGCATGCTCCGCACAAATTATGCATAGTTTAATAATAAATAATAGAACAGACGATTGTCAAAATATAAATATAATGTGTAAGAAATTTAAACTCTAATTATATCGACGTATCAATCGTAATAATAAATATGAATATAGTCACCGAGCTTTTGCGCTTTGCATACATTCTATTAAGACTAAAATATTAACTAGGTATACCATAGAAACTGCATATTGTCCAAAATACAAATCAGTTCAATACTTTTCTCGATTATAATCAGAACATTATTAAAATCATCTATTTCTTTTAAATTATTTTTCAAAACAAACAAGCAGATGGTTCAAACAAATTTTAAGTACATAGACCTCAAATTATAATTTCAATTTATACCGGCGTGAAATCAACAGTGAAAATGTATATACACATATATAGTTTTACAGATAAGTTTAGAAAGAAAAACCATTAGTAAAATCATTGAAAACCGAGGCTTTTCCTTACCTAGGCCAGTATCTGGCGCTTGAATTGACAATATGACATATTCAATTCGATTATAGATACATATATACACAGTAACATTTAAACAAAGTATTAGAAGTGTTTCACACCGAAAAAATTATATTAAAGTTATATTTCAAATAACGAAACAAATTTTTGCTTTTCTTTTACCATTGACTGAAAGTGACGCATACCTAGCTACTTCTCTTTTTGAACGTCTTTGTGAATTTAAACATGTCGTAATTTAACTTCATAAGCGGTTACCTGACAGGTTAACGTTTTTTTTTTTCTTTTTTAATGCAGGCACCCGTCATCGCAGGGTGTTACTCCCTTCTAGCCCCTCCAATGTTCTTTGGAGCCTAATGACAACTCTATTCGTTCATTCTATTTTTTTTTTGTTCTTGTTTGCTATGCTTAAATCATACATTTCTTAGGACTAAATTACAAACTTCATGTTAACGCTATGGCAGTTATCAGTCCATAACACCTCAAAAACCCACTGCCCAAACGCAGCTCTGTTGACATCACTGATTTTCATGACTATGTATCTGTTTAACGTGCCTGTAAAGATTGAGATTCACGTGCCGATATTTTTATTTACAGACATGCAGTCATCAGTCCTTATTCCGACTGATCATCAACATCTATTAAATATTGACGACGAATATTTGGACATATCCATTAATGAGTCCGATCTTGAATATTTACCTGACAATGAAGACTTAAAGAGATATGTGCTTAACGGTACGACGGATGCAACATCAAGCGATGTCATACTTAGACTCTTGACTGATGAAGAGCTAAACAACTTCATATTGCATAAGTATTGCAATATTGGCAGTGTACCCGTCAAACAAGATGATTCAAGTCCTCACAATATGAATGTTAAAGCAACTCATCACGTCAGTTCTGCAAAAAATAAACACAAAATCAAAGCTGCTACTGCTGTAAAGGAGCTAACAGTTGAGATGAATGACTTTGTTAAAATAAAGTCGTGCAAAACAGTTGTTTACCAAGACAGTGATAAAAAAACTAGGGAGAAAATGTTAAAAAGGAAAACCGAAAAAATTAAAAAGTGTGTTGAGGCAGACTTTAAAAAAAAGAGTGCAAAGGCCCCTGCACAGTCGGCACGTTGTAAAAAACTTTCATCTATCCCAACTGATAGAGTAAAGCACAAAATTCTTGGTATTATTTTTAAAAAAAGGAAGTACAATCCGGTGATGCTCAAAAGTACTACGAGTACTTTAGAGCATCACTGATTGTACTAGGCAAGTGATAGTTGTTGGAATTAAAATACTAAAGGTATTCTTAAAATTATAATTAGGAACCTAACTGAAGTTACACTTAACTGTGACTTACAGAAAGATAATAATCAGGAATTGCAGATACCTATAGAATTGGAACACAAAACTGAAAAGTCCTTTCGCCAAAAAACTTAACAAATGTATGGCACCTATCCGGAAGGATAAACAAGGAATAAACAAAAAATAAGCTTCATAGTAAAGAAAACAGTAAATCTATCAAAATAAGCATTGAAAAACACAGGGCCAATAATTAGGCAAGAATAGTCGTGTTGTCTTTACAAATGTATGGAACCAGATACCGCAAAGAGAGAACCACTAACAAAAAAAGTAAAATCAATTAAAAACTGAACAAATTGAACAATATTTCGTTTGTTTTTGATGAATTTAAGTAAATAAAAGGCTGACGCGAGTAGGAACAGGAGAAGACGATGTGGTGTGAAGTGACACTGATGTATCAAAAGTTGTGGGGACGAGATAGCCTGAAGTATCGAAGGTTCGAGGTGCCGAGAAGCCTCGGTTATCAGATAATTCTGAAAAAATTGTTGTAGTCAGTATTGGAGTCAACACTCAGAAATAAATGTGTCAATACTCTTCAATTGTGTATGGAACATCTTCATCAAGCTCATCTTTACGATATGAAGATTTAAAATTCAGTTGGAACGCTATAGAGATATTACACTGGCGATAAATGCGTTAAAAACAGGTTGGCACTAAAATATATAGCAACTTGCTATTCTCTAGTATTCAAGATGTTTTTATGAAGAAACCCCTGAGCATAATGCCGAGACATACATACGATGAAACACATTTGAAGTCTAAATCCAATTTTATACACAAACTAGACCTCAAACTTGTCTGCAATAGTAAGAGAATATGACTGTAAAGCTCAACAGAAGATAAGGTTTTCAAGCATAGAAGTAACTTAAACCTAGAGATGTTCTCGTTCAAACAGACCCAATACCAGAAATGACAACAGTTGTAGCTCATAGAATTACCATTAACGAGTTAACGTAACGACAGTAGTAGATTCCTGTTATGGAGGCTGATAATTAAAATTCATTATTAGAACAATTTGAAGCCATCGAAAAAGTCAAGTCAAGACTCAGAAACGATCCGGAACCGGTCATTAATGTTGAGGATAGTAAAAAAAAACATACCTATCCATAACCACTGCTTGCCTGAAAAGTGGCACAATGACTTGAAGAAAACGCAGAGCTTATCAAAACCTGAAGTGACAATTGTAACACACAAACCAAATAAAAAAAAAACGATAATGTTAGAACCCAAAACTAAGAAAAGATCTTCAACGATGAACTTAATCAATGTCCAGCAGTGGACTAGTATAGGCTGTTGATGATGATGATGATGATGAACTTAACCAATGTATGGAATTAGTAAGTGCAAAGACAGATCCACCAACAAAAAGAAAGAAAATTACTTTAACGGAGTATATTTTAAGAAGAGGTATAACTTCTAGTACCAATACTGCACAAATAAGTACCGAGGCGATATTCTCCATTGTAGGCAAAGCTGTCGGGTGTCTTATAATACAAGCAGCACCATCTACATAAGAAAAACACAAAATCGAAGCTGTTACTGTAAAAGAGCAAACTATTGATTATTATGATATTTTGAACATACAGCCGTGCAAAGATGCAGTGATTCCTTTTAAGGAGTCTGATAATTTAAATTCCTTATTAGAACAATTCAAAGCCATGCCTGCAGTTAGAGAGCCAACGATTAAGTTGAATAACTTTGTGAAGATGGAGACGCGTGAAATTGCTACCATTCCTGTTTTGGAGGCTAACGATTTAAAGTCATTTATAGAAAAAGTTGAAGCCATCGAAAAAGTCAAGACGCAGAAACAATTGGACCCGGTCATCAATGTTGAGAACAGTAAAATAAACATACCTGTCCATAACTACTGCTTGCTTGAAAAGCGTAGCAATGATCTGAAGAAAACGCAGAGCTTATCAAAACCTGAAGTGACAATTGTAACGAACAAAAAATGATAATACCCGAAATTTTGGAACCCAAAACTAAGAAAAAATCTTTCAACGATGAACTTACCTAATGTATGGAATTAGCAAGCGCGAATACAGACCCACCAACAAAAAGAAAGAAAATTACTTTCCAAGAGTATAAATTAAAAAGAGGTATTACTTCTAATACTTATTTTGCTTAAATAAGTTCCAAGGCGATATTCTGCATGCTAGACAAAGCTGTCAAGTTTCCTACAATAGGAACAGCATCAAACAGATTGTTGAACTCAACCGAAAAGCCGAACAATGAGCAAAAACTGTTTGATCCAATTAAAGAGACCTCTCGAAATGTTTAAAGAAAACCAAAAGCCTGAAGCGAGTAGGAAGAGGAACGAAGATATAGTCAAAGTAAGATACCCAAAGTAGAGGATTTTCAGACACAAACTGTAGTAAGTGGCCCTGAATATATCAAGGGTTCGAGTTATAGAGTAGCCTCGAAGCCGAAGAAGCATTCTGTATAGTAGTACTACTTTAAAATGGCCAAGAGAGCAAATGTGGGCAGCGGAACATTCTGTCCCGGAAGGTTACATCAAACCTTCAGAAAACCTGCCACCTGGACACCGAATGCAATGGCCAATATGGAGATCATTGAGTCACTCACGTACGTTTGTTGGTCGTTGCAAAAGCATCATGGCAAACAGAGCTTTACCAACAAGTGGACAATGCGCTATGGATGTGGCTCATTTGCCCCTCCAGCTGCACTGTAGAGGAGCTGTGAAGAGCTATGCACAATTCCGTGGCTATGGCGGAATTTGGGGAGGACAAAAGGGGGTTGATACGACAAAGAATATCTACACCGCTGAGTAAGCCGACGGTTCCGGAAAGCTTCGATTCGTCGTCAAGGTGAGCATTTACCAACTGAATATTTACTATGCTAATTTTGCCTTGATCAGTTAGCAGCCATCGCGGCAGTCTTCTGGGGCCTCGCGTGGTCAGAGTTACGTAAATCGGTCTTACTAGGGGTCTAGAACAAGACAGATTCAAATTATCTGATTTAAAATCTGTTTCAAGTATTTTTCATACTTACTTATACTTACTTACGTTTGTTTATGTGCGGTAAGATAGTACCACTAATAAAAGTAATTACAGGCACTTTAAGCATTAAAATTGAGAAAGTCACGTAGGAGAAAGGTATTTAGGTAAGAATGGGATACTGATAGATTGAGCAGCTATGCATAGGCAATAGCTAGAACAAGTCAGGGCCACATAACTGCAACTTGAAATGGCTGTTGTTAGGAAATCTCTGTTGTTTAAATATAGCTATCATAAAGACACGCTGCACGAATGGTATAGTGGTTTAAGTCGTCACGCCGCACAGTGTATCGACTAGTACAAGCTAGCGGGACAATATTATTTCTTCACTTATTTCAATTGTTTATGTATATTCCAGGTATCTTAAGCTATTTTAAGAAAAAAAAAGTTGAAAAATATGTATTGTATGTGTATTTATCGAATTATGTAGCTGCAGGACGGAAGTGGTTTACTAATGTGTCTCATTTGTTCACTATTGTCGCTAATTGTTCTTTAACTAGCTACGTCTACCTACTCATTATGTGTGTAAATCACACTCATGTTTGTTGACAAAGAAAATTCTAGGAAAAAAATAAAAAAAATAATGATAGTACTCACATTCATTAATTTACAAAATATTATTTCTTTTAAAATAAATTAAAAGCACTAATTCATCCGTTGATACGACAAACAACATCTCCACCGCTGAGTAAGCCGACGGTTGCGGAAAGCTCCGATTCGTCGTCAAGGTGAGTCACGTAGTATCACCACTCACAGTAATTCCAACTGGAATTAAAACTGAGAAAATCAGAAAAGAGAAAAGTACATAGGTAAGATTGATAAGGACGATGATAGATTGGTGAGCTGTAGATACTCGTAAGCAATAGCTCGAACAGATCAGAGTCACTTAACTGCAAGTCAAAATGGCTGTTGTTAGGAAATCTGAGTTGTTTAAATATAAGTATCATAAAGACAATGTCTGTAAGGCTTTGCTTATAATTTTTGTTTTTGCTGATGATATGTCCTTCATACGAAGCAATCTATCACGACGCCTACACAATATTCCTTAATTGTAGGTACATTAAAATTCTTTCAACTTTCAGGATTGGATAAACTAAACTAATGAGTAATATATACCTACATTATCTATTACAGTTCGTCCAACTTG